GAGAAAAAAGGGGGGACCACGTTTTCTTGTGAAGACTAGCTGGTACGGTTTAATTGATATTCATTGCAATATATCAAGTATTTGGGACAAAAAGGATTTTTTTTGGTTTAACATTAATCAAAATGTAAACAGAGGGTTTAGTAGATATACATCAGAGGTTATTTTGAATTGATAATAACTTCAAGAGGAATGAAAGATCTCTCTTCAGATAACGGAAGAAACAACTCTCTTCAGATATAAAGGAAGAAGCTCGGCGCGCGAGATTGGATCAAGGCACTTCGTCAAGAGGAGAAGTGGCTGGCTGTTTTGTTCCTTCCACACGGCGTAGAGCCTTGCTTGCATCACTAATCGGAGTATATATATTTGACGAGAGAAGGAGATTTGAGCCAGTGCAGCCTACTGGGAGCTGAAGAAAGACCAAAACATCACGAGTGAAATTGCAATCTAAGTAAAATATGTTGCTATGTTTCTTCTTCTTGATTGCATATTATAAGCTTAACCATATACTGTAATTCCATGTTGATTAATTAAGATTATGAAGAAGACAGAGACATGGATTTTAAAATCCATTAGAATACTGCGTTATTGCACGTGTGATTTGCAAAAACCGCCAACCAAAATCTGTAGTTATCCAAATTTTCTATAAAAGTTTTCAAATATTTTGAAGATCTTCTCCAACACTTAAACCGCCCTCTATATATATATTCCAAAACTTCTAGGGCACAGAAAAACGTGTTAGCAGCCATAACTGCCGATAATTACTGCTTCTCTGCCAGGTTTAAATCTCCCACCCTCTTGTCTTCTTGTCGTTTATCTCTGTTCTTCCTACTCTGTTCAGAACCGTGTATTGTTGATAAATCATCTTATAAAAGGTTTCTTTAGACCTCTCATGTTCTCTTCCAGGTTTTTAGATCTGTATATCATGTCCAGGTTTTAAATTGACTTCTTGTTGTTTTGTTATGCAAACACTTTTAGTTGCTAGCTTTGATGAACAAAGAAACGGGAGATAATATAGAAGGAAAAGGGAAAGGTGAATATATACGATGGAGACCAGAGGAGAGCAAACTGTTGATTGAACTAGCTGCTGACTGCTTCAAGCGGGGATTGATTGATCCCAATGGAAGAATGCTCAAGGAAACTGTTGAGACAAAGATACTTCCGGTTCTTAACAAAACATTCAAGTGTAAGAAGACCTATAAGCATTACATAAACAGAATGAAGATTTTGAAGAACATATACCGAGATTCTGTCAATCTTCAGCGTTTTAATTCGAAGTTTGAATGGAATCCAATCATGAAGAAGTTCACGGCTCCTGATGAAGTGTGGATTGCTTACTTCAAAGTAAGTTTCTTTTCATTTTTGTCTACATAAGAGTAAGATGTATATGTAGTTGCTATTTTACATTGTTAATAATATATACATACTTTTTTTTTTTGTCTAGGACTATCCGAATCATAGACATATGTTTTACAAGACATATGAAGAATATGAGCATATGAAGCTAGTATTTGGAAAGAGGAGATTTGAGAGATCACCTTCACAAGCATGTAAAGTAGGAAAAAGTGAGAAACTGAAACAAGTAGATCTTTCTAGTGATGATAAGGTTCATGAGTCAATGGAAGTAGTTGTACCTGGTACTTCAATCTACTTAGAGAATTTCGTTGGAAATCCAGATCAAGAAGGTAGAACTGATGATGATGCATCGGTCACAAAAAAAGACGATTGCACAGAGCTAAGATCAATTGATTCGGCCACTGATCACATAATGCAAGGAAGATCAATGGCTGAGAAAAAAATGAAGAATGTTTGGGATGCTCTCAAAGAGATTCCTAACTTGGCGAACACAACCAGATACCAAGCTCTTAACATGATTTTAAAGCTTGAAATGAGAGACATATTCGTTAATATGTCTATTGAAGATCGCCTTGGTTGGATTCAGTGCACTATCCAATGAAGACTTGACTTTGTTAGAGCAACCTTATTGAGGGTCTCTTTTTTTTAGCTCCTAACTATTTTAAAATTTAAAATTTGCTTTTACAAAGTTAAGAGCCCCATGATTGTTTCTTAACTATTTTCTCTTCCAATGGTAATCTCTAATGAAGTTCTTAAAAAGAAGAAAAAAATCAAATTTTTGCAAAACAATGTCTTTTGTGATAAAACAAGAAGATGTACAAGCATTCATATAAACAAAACTACTATGTTTGGAACCAAAACTCAAAGTTAAACTCAAAGCCATTAACTGATTATGTTTTGCCATTCACACAAAACAGAGCACTTGAACAAATCTCCAAGCACCATAGACATGATTTCACTCGCATTCTTATCACCACAAGTTTTTTTAAGACATTGTTAGTGATTTGTCATGTCGCCACGAGCTTTTGTCTTCATCTTTACGATGCTGTGATTTGTCATCATCTCCACCACTTCGGTTACACTGATCTCTTGAACTTCTCCACGATCCTCTCTCTTCAAACATTTCAAAGCAAGTAATCAAGTTCATAAGACTTAGCAATTCTTTTAAAGGTTATGGAATGAGGAAAAAGAAAGGTGAGATAATTTGGGGAGAAGTACCAGAGGTTGGTCTTCTGTCACCTTTTGCATCACTAGGAAGATCATCATGCTGTTATAAGACACGCACAGGCAAGCCAAAGATTACATATAGCTGAGCATTGCAAGGCATTCAACTGTATGCAATAATCCCATCACATCAGCACAGATTAGAGGCTAAATATGCAGTAAAATAGCAACCCAGTAATCAATTATCTCACCAAAAATTTTAACTGAGCTAATACAAGATCAAATATAAAATCTTTTAGCCATTTCATGGGCAATGAAGCTCAGTAAAAAAAACATTCCAGCAGACCAAAAACTTCCAAGACATCCTATGACCACACATCTACTAGGACAGTAACAAAAAGAACGTTATCAGATGGAAAACAATAATGAAAGGTTTTGGATGTAACACTTGTTGATTTTTCGTTTTACTTTGTTTGGTATCCAGTGGTAGCAATTTTTTTATTGATCTTTTGTTTCTAGTTGGCTTTTTGGTTTTGGATTTTTAAAGTTTGCAATAGATTTCAGTTTATTAAGGCTTGAATTGCAACTGAAAATACCTTTTACAGAAAAACAAAATTGATATTAAATAATGAACCAATAGATATCATTACAAATCGTGCATAAATTGTTATTGACATAATAAATCGAAAGCATGAAACTCTACTAAATTAGAAAGAAAAATTACCAATGAGAATTCTTGTTCAGGTGAGTCTGAATTTGTTGGGGTTTGTTCGTTTTTGTCAATTTTTGTGTTGTGTTTTGTGTGGCATGTGAAGTTTTTGTTTTTGAGTGTGGAGGTTTGTGCTGTTTTTCTAGTCTTAAGTGTTTGTCTGGAAGTTCTGTTTTGTGTGATATTGTTTTGTTCTGTATTTGTAATTGTGTTGAGTGTTTGTGAATTTTTTTTTTTTGTTTTTTGGTCGTGTTTGTTGGTTTGGTGTGAGTGTTTTTACCATGAGAAGAGAGACAAAGAGATGTTACCCGACACTTCATTTGTTCTGGACTACGGAATTGCCTTTACGACTTTTGTCACTCAAAGACAAAAACCTGTGCATATGCCATGAAGCCACCAAATATCATTCTTTTTAATCTTGGGGCAACACATTACAAAATTGAACACAGAATAAAATATGTTTAGAGACAGAAACTTACATCTGTTTCTTTGCTTCAAGGTTGTTTTGAAATCTTTGGACGACAACCAGATGATCGAAAGGTACTTTAAAACACCTTTCCAAACGCCAAAGCTTTTGATGATTCAAATGGTTCTGGAGAAAACATCGTTAGCATGAACATATAAAGGGAACGAAGAGGATAGAACATGTTAATCTAACCAGATGATGGAGAGGTACTTTGAACAAATCATGATCTTACTTTTTCAAGCACAATAGCTAGTGATGGGCCTTGGATATACCATTGATAGTCTTTTCAATCTGAAAAAAATGCACACGACTAATCAGATATTTGGGTTCTCGCCATTAATAAAACCCAAGGATACCAACCGTTTCTTGTCCACTGACTCTCAAGATCTCGACAATGCATCCTTCGGCTGTTTTGTCGTACATTTTTCCTGGAATATAGAAGCATAACAAACTGAAACAAACAGACATGATCAGTGGTTAAGGCTGATGAGGGGGTATAACAACTTAAGATGAGTCACCTTCTTGCATGTATAACCTTCAAAAAGTCACTTAATCCAACAAGATGTTAGTTAACCAATCAAAAAGATCTTTACGTCCTTCTGCTCCCATTTTCCCATCTGCTAGGGCTACTATAATTTAAGGAATCTGCATTCGCAGAATAATAAGGACTGTAAGTTAATGTAATTATACTAGCAAGCAGAAGGTAAGGAAGATTTTTGTCAAGATGCACAATACCAAGCCACAAATCAAGAGCAGCCTAGGTGCATTCTCTCATGTGCTTCGTGGAGACATTTTGGAACATTAGATAGATAGAATTTGGTAAAACAGGTAGGCAGAATTACTGTACAGAGTAAAAAATATTTTCAATGCTTGACATGTATCACCAAGCTTGCTCGCTTTCTCCACAGCTGGTCCCCTACCTACTGCAACATCAATGGTAGTCAATGTTTTGCTTAAGAGCATAACAAGATTTTTGTTACTATCAAACAGTCGTAGACAACAAATGGTATAGACTAAAATAACAGAGAATTATAGAAAAAACACCTGACTTCATACAGAATTTTATTTACAGCATCACTTGACTCCAAACGCATCTACAAAGTATGAAAGACTTAGTTTCAACTCTAAAGCTTAAAATAAATTTCCAACAAAGAATTGTTAGGTTTAGACAAGAAAAGAAAAGTTGCAATTTGTACAGCACCTCCCAAACAAGACTCTCAAAGCCTTTAAGAAAATTTGAAACTGATGTCTTAACAACTCTCTTTGGAGCTGCAGTCACTGATGAACAAAATATTAAGAGATTAAGGGTAATCTTGCTATTGATGAACAGAACATAAGTAGAGCAAGAAAAACGAGAAATCCAAAAATTAAGACAATCCACACAAATATACCTCAAAAAGGTTTTTTTCTCATATTCGGCGTCAAGTGCACTTAGTAGAGCAGGTTTGAGATCATCAAGAAACACTTTGAAGTCTGCAAAACAAAAATAACATAGCTTGATTAATTTATTCAGATATGTTCTTTTAACAAAAAAAGTTAGCAAAAGCATAAGCCTTCACTAAGAACTCAAGCAAAAGCATAAGCCTTCTAGCAAGAGGAAATTTTTAAGTAGAGAAAAGTTCAAACCGTAAGTTTCAAAAGTGAGACACCAAAGACATCAACTGCCAAAACCATCAGTAGCAAGCCTTCACTAAGAACTCATGTTTTTAAAAAGCTACAAACGAAAGCCATGAATCATCATTGTGATCAGATTAAGATGAAATTCGAAGAAAAGTAACCGAACTAGCACATACCCTCTTGAAAACAAATTTAGGACCAACTGCTTCATAGAATGCAGTAGGGCACTTCATACCAGAGGCTCGTGTCTTTATATATGCAGCTTGGCCATTAGTGCTTGCGAATGATAGAAAAAAATCAGCCAAATGAGCAAGAACTAATTCTGTAAGGAGCAAAAAATAAAACTGATGTCAGAATTCAACATTCATCAACTGAATGTAGCTTTTTCCTTAGGAAACTTGCCGCAGTCCAAGATAGGTAAGTGATGATTTCAATGACTTGCTGCTGAAGCTGTATTTCCAAGTTAAATTAGTCTTAGGGGGAATAATACTAATATATATAAAAGAAGATTTATATGGGATATCAAGCATACCTGCACATATTTCTCATCCCAACCAGGACCTACACACAACAACCAGACCAAGATTTCCACTCACTTGCCTAGTTCTTGTAGACCTTTCAAAGCCAAAGTTGCACACGACTATATAATCCAAAAACCTCACCAAACTGATAAATACTTCCTTTTTTTAAAGGGCATCTGTGACATGGGCTAATGCAGCTTTGATCTGAAGAATTACAAGGCAACATAAAATAGAGCTTTGTATCAAATTCAGGAGCCTTGCACAACAGAATAATCCTATGTGTAGTGAAATTTGAAATAAATATAGAAAGAGGTAAGCACTAACGATTTCTTGAGAATAAAAGAGTCTTAAATGCCTCCAACAAACATTCAAGTCTTTCTTTTCATATCATATAGAAAGCTCTAGAATCTGGGGTCTGGGGTTTACAAGAGAATCCATCCCAGCAGGCTAAAAATGAAAAGAAGAATAAGATATTTAACAAAGAAGAACAAAGTCGAATTACATACCCATTTATAAGTATATTTATATGTACCTCGACATATGCAGGTGGTTCAACTTTCGTTCCATAAAGATCCAGCTTTTTTGCCTCGTTACTTGGTTTCCCAGTCCCAACCTTCTTGCTAAAAGCTATAAACTGTCATCTTTTTAAAAGAAATCTCCAGTCGCTCGCTTTATAATGTTGTTGACCAGGGGTTTGGCGTTCAAGTCATATTAATTAAGAAAACAGAAAAAGCTTGAGAAACAAAATTCTTATAAAAGATACATGATTCAATCTGAAGATATTTTCCACCATCACAGATGAGAAAAAGTTGTAAAAAATGTTACCTAGCTCTTGCTGCAAGATGCCATTTTCTATTGTAGTGGCATGATCATATGAAAATAAATACGAGAAACAAATATCGAATATAGCCAATTCTTAGGTTTCTGCATTGCTTTCTCTTTCTCTTGGGTTTGTGAAAATTCTTAAGTTTTTGTTTTTGTTTTGAGCTTCCTTTTGTGTGTGTTTGAACTTTGTTACTATTGAGTGTTTTGTAATATGTTTTATTACTTTTTGGTTGTGTTTGACTTTGTGTATGCGTGTTTTGTTTTTTGTTGTGATTAACTTTGTGTATGCGTGTTTTGTGCTCTCTTTTTGTTGTGTTTGAGTTTTATTGTGTTTGAGTGTGTTGTGTTCTGTTTTTGTTGTTGTGTGTGAATGCGTGTTATGTTTTGTGCTATTCGTTTTGTGTGTGAGCGAGAGAGAGAGACTCTACCTTGGCTTTCGTTTTCTCTTGGCTACCCAATCGTCTCCCCAATGATTTGTCTCTGCAGCATAAGAATCCATTCTCCTGAAACCGAAAAAAATAATTAGCAAACCTTTTTGGCTTTCCCATGTGCAAAAAAACAACTAAATGCACTTTCTTGGTTACATTATCCCTACAGATACAAGTTCTTTAAATATTTTACTTTCCAGTATCCTCTCCCTAAATCAATCAAGAGAAAAGCTTACATTAGCACTAGCGACCAAAGTTTATCTTTCGAATATCATCTTCTCAAATAAATCCAGAACCAAGCTTACATTACATTACAACTCCTGTAAGTTACAGTTGAGCAATTGAAGAGCTCATTTCAACAGGAAGACAAAGGCACGAAAACATGAAGTAAAAGCGAGAAACAGAGAAACAATTAACTCATGTAAATTCCATAAAAAGGGAATCATACCACAATTGTAGTCAAAACACGAGCATCTGCGTTCACTGGCAATCTTGCGAGACATTATCAAAGTGCTCCATATTCAGTGGCTGCCAACGTAGCAAATCAAGACGGTTTTGGTGACTGGCCAATAACTAATCACAAAGCTTGAAACGGTCTGTAACATCGGCATAAGAACAAGAACAAGAATCAAACCGGAGACAGTGATGCAGAACAAATCTAAACCAAAAACAAAGCAGCACAAAACTGTTCACGGTGAAGTTACGGCCATCAAACTCCTTCCCGATCATCTCTTCGATAGCATTCCATGGAAGATTTATTGTCCTTAGAGATCCCGAATCAGAATCCCCTTGATCTTCTAATTCTCGTGATCTGTCAAAACCAAAATCACAAAACTATCATAGAGATGGTATCCATGAAATTACAAAATCGATCGATCTCTGGGTTCACGAAAGCAGGAAGATTAACATACCAATTGGGATAAATTAGGTAACAATAACAAAGAACGAGAGACATAGTAACGATAATCGAATCAAGTAAACATATCCTTCTTGGAATCAGAATGATCGGAATTGCCTCGACGGAACCCTAAATCTGGGAGTCGTGTAACTGACCTTAGAATCGAGAACGCCCTTTCTAGTGTTAGATCGTCCGTGGCCCAAGCGAAGCCGCCGGAAAAAAGCATTGATACGGTGAAAGAGAATTTAGGGTTTTAAAAGAGCGAAAATTATCAGAGAGAGATTTGTTTACGTTAACTCTTCTTCAAACGGTCAATTGCTACCGTTATATAGAAAAAAAAAAAAAATCAAATTGCAAAAGAAGAACCCAAGACAAAAGACCCGTTTTAGATATTCAAATTTCAGCTTTGTACACGTCATAATTGTTAGCTGCGAGGAAGACCTAAACCAGGATTTTAAAATTTTGGTTTAGTAAAGTCTTATTTTGTTGGTCAGGACTAACCATGATGTAAGCACCCTGATCTCATGAACCTATTTTGATTGGTTCGGTTTGGTCTGAAATGTGTGTCAATTACAAATAACTAGGTGATTGCCCGCGCGCATGCGCGGGAAGAATGTTGTATAAATGGTAAAATCATGTGAAATAAGGGATTGTTTAGGTGTTACTTGGTAGTGTAAGAAAAAAATGGTAAATTGTTTAGGATTTAGTGTGGTAAAATTATGGAAAATGATGAAATTTAAAAAATTCAATAATATTATAAATGCTAAAAAATAATAATAAATCATCTTTTAAAATCATTCACCAACAAAATAAGAAATCAACGAACATCATCACTCCATGGCATTCTCCTTCCGTGTGATGATTGGTACTTGGTCATTTTCAGGATTCCTGACATCCGATTAAGAACACCATAAACAGTGAATGTCCAGTCGCCAACTTTAGAGTTTTGATTGTAAACGGAAAAAAAAAATACTTACCAACAAAGCATCTCGTCGGTAATACTGAGATCCGGATTCAACATAATCCTCGTACTTCCGGTAACATTGGTACATCTCCACCTATGTTCCTGTGATAGTTCTAATTTCACAAACTTGATAATACATATCACTGTGTTACGTGAACGATGCTTCCATAAGTCATAGAACTCGACTGCAAGGTCACCCGTTAAACGACACTCTAGATGGATACACCTAATTTTAAGATTTGAAGAAGTCATATAAGACATTATATTCTGGTTTAAATCTTTAAAAGAATAGTGACTTACTCAGTATCACGTAAACCAAAGTACAGCTCAAAATATCCTCCTTGAGAATGTTCCACGGAAGGAACAAAAACCAACTCTCTCACGTTGACAATTTTGCCAACAACATCTATGAAACACACACATGAATAATACAGTCAGAACATGAACCGCAAATAAACTCCAAAAGCACAAATAAATTTATAAATTAGGCTTACCAACGCAAATATTCGGATTAACAATACCACTCAATATACTCACAAACTCAGTTAGATTGAAATAGGTTCTACTGGAGCACATATTAATACTTTGCACTAAAGTGTCCGAACGAAACACAATCTTGAATCTATGCGGTACTGGTCTCAATATGCTGTTAACCCGTGATACATCAAAATTTTTAATGCTCACCCACTCATCGATTATCAATCTTGAAAGATAATTATCAATTAATTCATCACGAACAACGGCTTGGATTTGTGTGAACTGCAAATAAAACGTCAAAGACAAAACCAATTCAATTTAATATCGGAAACATGTATAGCAGGTAAGTTATCAAAAAACTAACATGCTCGTCACCCAAAATCATATTGAGCTCTCTACCCGTGCCACGCGAAACAGACCAACAATTCAAAATCTTCACCGAGACAGACCACTCACCCATGTTAGGGTTAAGAGACGCAATACGAAAATAACCACCATCACATGAATCAGATGTAAAAGGTATCATTGTAGAACCCATAACAAAAGATTACGCGGCTAAATATTCCAATGAGGTATAAATGCGGGATACATATATGTAGACCTAACGATTATTTGGAAAGAACATAAAAATGGAAAATATATATTAAAAACTAAATCAGAAAATTAACAAAAACGACTATTGATTAAACGATATAGAATTTATCCATAAAATTAATAAATTAAGTTTTTAAAAAAGAAACCAAATCTCAACAGTTAAACTGAAATATATACTAACGAAACTTAAGGGTAAAAAATATCACTCTATTATCAACACCATAATAATAATATATACAAATGGTGTAAGTTATTAGGGACGCAAATAAAGTTCCATTTTACCTAACGACGGAAACCAAAACCACACGATGCATTTTGAGAAACAACTTTTTTGAATGAGTAATACAAAAAAACTATAACCAATGACAAGTTATGTATCATGTATGTCACCTCAACAGAGTTTTTAACTATGTCATATAACATCTTTCAGACTAAATTACAAAAACTCACTAAAGCGAAATATATATAGAACTATAACGCATATCCAGAAACTATACTATATAAATAAAATTGTAACTATTAAAAGTGTCAATTTAGTATTTATCACAATCGATGCATATCATAACAGTATCCCTAATTGTAGAGATTTTGTTTATTATTACACGCGATTTCCATAATAATCGCGATAAAATAATATTTTTTTCTTTCTTTTCGGGCGTGTTGATGTAGTAGTTGATTTTTTTTTTTTTTTTTTTTGTTCTTTTTGTTTGGTTTGCTTATATATAATAGCGTGAATAATAATAATAAAACAGAGGAGAGAGTATATATTAAAATTAAACGGAATATCTAAAAGCAAGTAGATATATCGAACTATAAAATACGGTACAGACGACGTCAAATCGCAACTGGTTATTTTCTAATTATTACTACAAAACAATACAGTTAATCCCATTCAATTTTTACCGGATACGAACATAATAAAAAAAATTACAGAAGAGATAAGCGATGATAACCTACACGCATCGTCTATGTGTCGAGAAACATGATAACAGTCGTCGGAAGTTCTAAGTCTTTGTAACAATGATAGCAAACACAGACGCATTATTGTTCAACTATCAAAGAAAATTACGCATAAACAGAAATATTCTAGAAAAAGTTATAAATGAATATCTTAGAAAAAGTGATACAGCAACAAATACATGTAGTTAAAAATTATGGATTACGCGGTACTTCGTATATAATTCGCATTACGAACATGATATAGTCGATAATCATATTAAATACACAAGAAAGAACAAACCCAATTAAAATAACAAATTCATAAATAATAAATCAGAAAGGTTAATAATTCCCAAAACGATAAAATGATAAAATAAATAACACCAAGACACTATTATATTGATAGTATTAGGTGGAATAATAAACCAATACCGAAACTATAACACCGATAAAGCAAAACCAAGACAACGATAACAAATCTAGGCCAATATCACATTGACATGTCATCACATTTGTAAGTTAAGAGTCGGCGAACTATACCAAGACGCACACCTTCAAAACCGGCATGATGGAATCCAAGATCACCCATCACCTTACGCATAACACGAAAACCATACCACTCTAATTGCACATCGGATAACTCCAACCCTAGTGTAATAAAAAGCAACACCTTTTTGAGACACAACTATCAAGTCAAACAACATCTATAAGTATTTAGTATTGATGATAGATTAATACCAGGATTATTACGCGCGATTTTCTGTTCAGCCAACACATCACCACTCAAAACTCGATAGCAAGC